CCAACCTTACGATATAATGTTTTACATCAGATAATTTTAATCATAGCTTGCTAGTGGCGCCTTTTGTCAAACGGCGGAAATTTATTTGTACACCTAATATATACTAGTCAATTTATTAGTGAAGTACAGTAATATATAATAAATTATTTATTTGAAGTACTAATTGTAAGAGTACTGAACAAGTGCTTTTAATACTTATTGTTAAAATAAGTAATTAATTACTCTTTCAATATTAGTCAATGTTAGATTTCTATAAAGGTATAATGCCATTACTTTTCAATTCGTACTTTGTAAATATAAAAATAAATTTATGTAACACAATTAACGTACCATTTAATATACTAATTAACGTATTTTTTAATGTTTTTCTCACATGCACAAATAATGGTACTTACAAATTTCCGCCTATCTACCTCAATCCTTGCAATTTCCATTGTCAAATTTTGGTAATATTTCAGAAGAATTCCTCGACTAAAAACTTCTAATATTCGAAAAAATTTCATTGGACCTCGACTACGAGTTAGAAATTGAGTTCCAGAATGTACTCATAAATTATTATCGGCATTCTGCGACAAATTGTTTTTTTTTTCATTATTAGCTAAATGTCTCTGACACTAATTATAAAATAGGACTCGCAAATTTACATGGGTTATTATAATGTTTTTTATAAATTAATAAGTAGAAAGGAAAATGTATCAAAAACATATATTATTAATAAATGTAATATAAATTATTAATAATGAAATAAGTACCTTTTTTTTATTATGAATTCATAAGAAGTACCGCATTTACTGCAGGTTACTGCAAATTTATATTCATAAGTTTCACAGTTGCACATTTTATCCATTTTCAATTTATATGAAGCATTTGCACGTTATTTCCATAGCAAAATCAACTGACTATGCACAATCAATGCTGCATATGCTGACTTATTGCACATAGCAGCAAATCGATTTTTTGCATAACATTGCATTAATAAGACGTATCATATTAGTATCAGTGACCTCGCCCTGATAAAATGAAAGATTCAAAAAACGTCGGCATTAGCAATGGATAAAAACATAGCGATAACCAGCTAACCCTCTGATATCTTTAAAAATACCTGCACGGAAAAAATGCTACAATCAGAAATGATAATTTTCGCTTATCAATACATTTAGTTGTGATAACTGTAAAATGAATATATTCTTATTATTATTTCTGGTTGTGTAAGCTGGTTGTCTAACTGTAGCAATTTTTTCCGTGTAGTGTGAAAGCATTATCAAGATGACGCCTTCAATACATTATTGATGTCAACATTAAATGGAATTAGCTGCTCTACGATGAAAATGAAATGAATAAAATTTTATTAATATAAAGTATTAATTTTATTAATATAGAGTATTAATTTCTTTAATGCTTCGTTCTTAATTGTTCAAAATATTTTGTATATTCTTTTATAAACGTACCTTCAAAAGTATTTGACTGATTTTAGCAGGTTGACAAAGTCAATGTTGCTGTTGGTATTGTTATTATTATTATTATTGTTATTATTATTATTATTATTTACAAAACTTATTTCAACAATCATTATTGTATTGTGATAAACTATGTTGCCTTTATCACTATCTCGCGCAACCAACACAATATGAGACGAATACGTAGGTACGATCTCTATATACATTTCGTTCATATCTCAAAAATGGTTTTCCGGAACATGATTTAAATACACATCATTGTTTTCAGCGTAAAATGCTCTTTAATTTTGATCATATAAAAAAATTAAAGTTTTGAAAATAAGAGTGAAGAGTGGGAGTATACAATAAATAAATAACTAAAAAAAATTTGTTTTATTATGGTTATAAAGTACTCTTGCAACCATTCAATTTTCATTTAGAAATTTTTTTCTATCTCTCATATCTCTTCGAAGATATTCGCTTCGAAAGAAAAAAAAACCTATTTTCTTCAAGGGAGGATTTCATCTCCTTAACATGCGACTCAGTACGTAATAAAAAAAAATACGTCTCTTATTTTTGTTTGTAGAACAACATACTAAAAGCTCATTTAAATCGACGACATTCAACTTGTGTTCCTTGGTAAGTTAAATTTTCAAGGTTGTTAACTTTAACTTAATTTAGTTAAAAGAAAAGTTAACTTACCCAACCCTGCGTATATTGCTGGTGGTAAGCGGAGCATCTTTGGGCGAGATGCTCATTAGGGTTGAGTTATGTGCGACGTGCATTGTAAGAGCGACCGGGGACTTAGAGTTCGACACTTAAATGAAGATCATCGCCTTTATGGAAGAGGATGTCCTGAGAGGTGTGACTCTTCGGGTGGGGGGGGGGGGGGGGGACGACGGTCGGTTGCCGGCATATACATTCAGCCGCATTTGGTTACTCGTACGGTGGATTCAGTCGATCAACTCGCGGACATCGCAGACGCGATCATGAAGACCACTCGGGCGCCAGCTTTTCAAGTTTCTGAGGCTTCGGACTCATGCATTACAAGGTGCAAGCGACGCAGCTTCAGTCAAACAAAGTTAGAAGTGAGGTTGGCGCAGTTACGACCATGCAGGAGATGACGGAGCAATTGACGGCTCTTCGAAAGTCAATCGAGACGATTGATGAAGGTCGGTCTCGCCGGAAGCACGACAATGAATCGGGCGCGTTCGCGTCCACGTTCGCGTGACCGTGATCATCCAGCAAACAGGCTTTGTTGGTACCACTGATGTCTTGAGCCGGATGCCCAATTGGATCGATGCAAGTTGCTTTGCTCGGTGCAGCAACAAGGAAATGCATTGGCTAATTGTTGATGACGACGAGCGATTCAAGTCGTCTTTTCGTAACGGACAAAGCAACGAAAGTTTTATTTTTAATAGACACGGGCGCGGATCTCTGCGTGTACTCATGGAAGATGATCCGTAGGTCACATTAGAGGTCGACTTACGAGTTCTCGGGAACAGCTCGACAATAAATACATACCGAGACAATGACTTTAAACTTCGGATTGCGACGTGCGTTTACCTGGCTGTTTGTGATAATAGATGTCGAGACCAATTATTTATGCCGATTTCTTGTCTCGTTATGGTTTTCTCGTTTGCAGAACTCTTGCCTTGTTGATCAGATAACGAGTTTATCTTCTCCCGAACACTGAGTATGATGTGACATACCAAGTATCGCGGGTGCGATGCCGTACTATGTATTGTTAGCGCAAATTACGAAACCTGAAGGACGGTACGATGCGGCATGATATTGAAACAACACCATGACTAGTGGTGTGCAAGCTGCGTAGACTCGCATCGGATCATCTAGCGACCACGAAGTGCAAATTTCAGAAGATGATAGAGGCCGGAATCATACGGCCCTCTAAAGGATGTACTAGTTGTCGCCCTTACATTTAGTGTCCAAGAGAAGTGAGGAACCTTGCTAGGACTATAAGGCATTGAACGCGCGTACTGTCCCGGATCGTTACCCCGTACAACACATCGAAGATTTTGCGCAAGCATTGCAGGGGAAGATGATCTTTACGATCTTCGATCTCACCAGTTCGAGCGCACCAGATTCTCGTAACAGAGGAAAACATTCCAAAGATGGCCATTACCACGCCGTTCGGCATATACGAATTTCGATACATGTCATTCAGATTAAAGAATACGACACAGACGTTCCAGCGGTTTATCGACGAAGTTTTGCGTGATTTTGACTTCTGTTACGTGTACATTGATGATATCCTTGTCGCATCAGTGTCAGCGGAAGAGTATCAGAAATATCTACAGAGAGTTTTCGAGAGGCTGCGAGAGTATGAGGTGATTATTAATCCCGCGAAATGTATTTGGCCAGCCGGAGGTTATATTCCTAGATTACCTTGTAAACGGAGAAAGAACTCGTCTGCTGGCAGCGCGAGTCCAAGCAATACGATTATAGAAGACCGAAGACAGAGAAGGATTTAAAGAGGTATCTCGGCATGATTAATTTTTATAAGCGCTTCTTGCCAAGAGCCGCAGAGACATTGACGCCGCTTAACAATTTCCTGCACGAAAACAATAAAGGAAAGACGCCGGTGTCGTGGACGCCCCAGACCGAATAGGCGTTCGAAACATCGAAAAAAAACTTAGCGCAAGCTGCCTTTCTTGCAAACCTAAAAATTGACGCCGAACTCGCATTGTTTACCGACGCGTCCGTACGCAGCATCGGCGTTACAGCAGCGGGATAACAACGAGGCTAAGAACCTTTAACGTTCTTCTCAAAGAAAGCCCAGCCGAAACTAAATACAGCGCGTTCGATAGGGAGCTTCTAGCTATTTATTTCTCTATTAAACATTTTCAGCATATGCTGGAGGCGCGGACATTCGTAGTTTACACGCAAGCCGTTGGTTTTTGGCAAAAGCCATTTCAAAACAAACACGCCACGCCAGTTCCACTACCTCGATTTTATTGGCCAGTTTATCACTGATGTTCGGCATATAACGGGTGCAGATAATGTCGTGGTGGACGCACTGTTAAGAATCGAAGAGCTAAGGTCACCTTTGGACTACGCTGCAGCGTCACAGAGGGATAATAAGAAGTTCGAGAGCTATTTGCAACGGCAATCCGATCTCAAACTGGAAAAATTGATGATCCCTGGAGGGGGAATACAAGCCTTTTATGATGTAGCAACGGAGACGCCGCGACAAAGCCGTTCCTGACAAAACCTTTTCGGCGGACTACTTTCGACTTGGTCCATAATTTGGCTCACTCCAGGTATAAAGCTCGTAGCACAGCGCTACGTCTAGCCGATCCTGAGGAATGATTGTCGCAATTGGGATCATGCTTGCGTGTCTTGCCAAAAATCAATTTTCATACTAAACTTTTTTTCAATCAATTTACAATCAATATTTTTCGATATATAAGCAAAAAACATGCTTTCTGCAACTATTCAATTTTTTTCGCATATTTCCTACACAAATCTCGAATCTCGAACATATTCATTTCTTTTCTAATGGCTTTCCGAAGATTTCCGTGCAAAGAAATGCTGGTTTACAATTTTTTTCCAAACTAGGAATTTTTCAATCTAATTCTATTGGACTATACAGTGCACTGCAAGGGCGATCCTTACGCCTCTTCTCGAAGATTACGCCCCTTCCCGCCGCCGCGCCATCTCGCGACAGACTCCGAGCAATCGCGCCAACTTGCAACAACTATCTCGCGTTGCATCTGATATACGTGTAAATAATTGAAAACTCTTCCATCTATTAATCGGCTACCAAATAAGTGTAAATAAAAGAACTGAGGAACGTTATATGATGCGTGATTTTCTTTCCACTTCCCCTGCCTCCAGCCGATATGATGAATCTACTCGAATCTCTAAAATTCTTTTTAAATCACGCTGCTTATTAATTATAATTTATTAATATTGATTCAATTCATTTTTAGTATTTTTTTTTCAATAAATTAACTAATAAATTAAATAAATAACAATATCTCTCAAATCTCTTATTACTCATTAAATACAAGTTCATTAATAATTTCAATTACTCAGTTAAATATAAACTATTTCTCAAATAATTTAATATATAAACTTTCTCTCAAAAAATCTGTTAATTCGAGTTCGCTAGTTGAAAATTTGAGTATGGGCTGTCATCTTTTGATTTGTCGCTCATTCCGAGACGCAGCTTGGACTGATCGTACTTCCCTTATCTAAGAAAATATTTTCCAATCAATTTCTACTTTCTTCTACTCCCGCGATCCCGCACGCACATATAATGCCATTTTGATCACTATTTTCTATATTCTTATCGATACGGACGTAACAATATTAAAACTTACAATTAGGAAAAATCTCGGGAAAAAATGTTTTTATATATAGTTATGTAAAATTATATGTAATTTTATATACATATATATGTGTGTGTGTGTGTGTGTATGTGTGTTTATAAAAT